TTTCTTTAGTACTCATAAGTATCCCATTTAGTATATATAATATTATAATTCTATTGCATTGGTTTATTATGTGTATTCATTAATATAATGGGTATCGGTGGTGGTCTACCGTTAACACTAATACTGTGATCAAGAATTGAAATGACAAAAAAAATTAAATAGCATAAAAGTTGTTTTCGTCTATAATTTTGGATGTTTTATTTAAAATAATATCGACCTGATCTACAAATAAATATGTATATCCAATTGTAAATAATATATTAATTACAGGCCTTCTTTACTATATAGTTTGTATTTCATTTTTTTTTAAACAGTTCTTTAGAAAAAATATAATTTACGTAGTTGAGTACTCGTATGACTACATTAGGTACGTGACAATTGATATAACGGAGTGGAACCATTTGCAGATTTTTTATTGCATGTGATTAATACCTAACTAATTAGGCATAATATTGATAAGCCTTTAAAATTAAATTAACGAAGAAAAAATCTTTAGATAATTTTATTTAATTAATTTGTTTAATTGTATTCACAGTTAGTTTAGATCTATGCGTCACTATCTACTTCGTGTGTGGTCACTAACGCTAACTTTGTTGTCTAAAAATGGGCCCCTAATCCCTTTTTGTCAATGCATTATGTGTGACGCAAATCACAACACCTAAAATAGAAGATATTAATACTTTTCTAAGTATTATCTCGATAGAATCATGTTTTACTCACGGTCCGTGCAATAGGTGCATTACCATAAGTAATGACGAATGCTCTATGGTACATATTTTACAACAATAATACGTTATCTTACCATAAACACTCACTATTTTAAATTTCATATTGAGAGCAAAAACTTGAATTTGAATTGGAACCGACTTTTCAGTAAAAAGAAGGAATTTCTATATATATACAAGTGTGTTATATTTTATTGGAATTGTCACTCTATTTATTTTGTAGTTGTGGTTCCTTTTTAGTCAACATAAAAAAAAATTGAAAATTGAAAATCTTATTAGATATTATGACGATATTGCATATAGGTGCAGTTAATAGAGCTAATGTGTATAGACCAATAGCAAGAAAGTAAAACTGGACGAGCTAAATTCTGAAAACAATTAACATCTCTTGCTAATTATATTTATATATTTGCTTGGTATCTTGCTTAGTTGGTTACTCAATTTGAAAAAAACAGTTCTTGCATGGAACCGGAAATGCACTGAAAAAATAAAGAAAAAAAAAGAAATAATGGGGGAAATGTGACACAGAGAATATATAAATACAATTTACCCTGAGAGATCTTGGTTTAGGTTTGGTCCGGTCACCATACGTGTACTGGCGTGACCTGAATCGAGCGCGGGGCACAAGGCGCGCTTGTCTGCAAGAACAGGCGGCTTTGATTACCGGTAATCTCTTCCATCCTAACAATGTCACACAAAACATGTGATTTAGAGCATAACAGTATACCTATTTTTTGTTAGGAACATGAATAGCGTTAGCAAATCTCGAAAGTTATTGCTATTAATCACTATAATAACTTTAAGGTGCGTTAATATATAAACTATTATTAATAAAGGAAGAGTACAAATTTTCATATGAGGAAAGTAAATTCCGGAACTTAATGAAGTGTGCACTGATTTGAAAAATTGTTTCACTATTTAAAAGGTAATTTATGAAGACTGACATGTTGTTATAAAAAATACTCACCAAATTTTGAGTACATTAGACTTAGTCGGGGCGTGACACTGGTGTTGTAAAGATTTAGTAGTATCTATTTTGAATTAGATCATCTGCAGGCTAATGCTAGACCGACCGAGAGAGGTACCTACCGCAGGAATAACAAATTTATCTTCAGAAATGGGAACGTATGAGTGACTGATGTCACTGGGACTGATATCCTCGTGTATGCAGTAATTCACATATATAAGTGATAGTTAAGTGGGATTGCGAACTTATTTCTTTATTTAATTCAGGCTACTAATGGCCCATATTATAAATACCTTACAGACTAACATAACATATGTATAATATAATGAATAGAAAATGCAATAGTAGGTATTGTTGAAGGTTTATGTCTATCAAAACGTTTTTTTTGTATGGATAATAATGGAATGGTGCACCTGCCTGCGCTAACGATTTACGCTGGCGGGGTAAGATGAGTATGAGGTCTAGTAAGCCCGTCGTGGTAAATTCGCCATGAATTTATCATGATGGTTTTCAAGGGGAACCACGTGTGGGTCAACCTGACATGGTACATTGCTAGCAATAGAATCAACAGTGAAAATTACTAACAATTACCTCCCCCCCCCCCTTATTAAAAAGTTTGTATTTCATCTTTCCAATAGCATACAAAAATAATATACAAATAAGTTGCCCCATCAGCTGCCGTGTAATATATACAAGGCCACTAGTTAAGATTTCGAAAAAAAAAGACCATCTACAGAATAACAACAAAGCATTACAAGAAGAGATAAGGCTGTGGTAGCAGTGCAGTAAAGAGCCAGCCGTGCGTGACACAACCATTCTATATCCCATCCAAGTATGGCGATGGACACTTAACTATTCAAACCATGGATTCATCAGCATCTAATTACCATTATTTACCCACATGGAAGGTGCGCAAGTACGGTAAAATTACGATTTTCTACTATTGCTACTTTATTGTGAAGTCCTTAGTGCAATCCATTGGCCTGTATACATAGTCCATATGTCGTCTTCTGCAATGCATCAGCAACAGTAGATGTATAGTCATTCTACTTGACAAGTTATATTTCTGCTATATATATAATAGTAAAACTTGCTATACAAACACGAGAATACAGATTTGTAGAAATTAATGTTTTCAAACATATAGGTACCAATATTTAGTTCTACATTAAAACCTGATTGTCACAACCAAATTCATAAGGAACGGACATGTCAAAAAAACGAGGATGTTACCTTCAAAAAGAAAGCAAGGTATCGTAGTCAGTGGTAACAAAAAAGTAACTAAAGGTAATGTCTTTCTGTTTTTCTATAGAGTATTTTTGTAAAAGATTATTAACATAAAGAGAACTCAATTTTTACTCGGCTTAATATCAGAATTCTTTACGAGAAAAACGAAAGCATAGATCTCAAAAATACATTTCAATCATCTAATAGAATTAAAATTTTGAAGACTATAATAATGGCAAAATAAAAGAAAGATAGATAAATATCATATAAATTTGCATGTGGATATATCTATACTCTAGTTTCCTTATGAGTGCTGCCGACACATGTACTAAATAAATCACATTGATTAATTGTAGAAAGGTAACATTGTTAAAATGGGCATAGTATTTCACTGCAGCCTAGTGTGCAGCTCGCATACGCAACAAGTGCACCGTAATATTTTAATTGTACACGACCTGCAGGACACGTTGTGCTTATCAGATGGTGGGAACCGCCTTTCATCGTGCCTTGACAGTGCACATCATTCACTTTATTAGTATTTATGTTGAGAAGACCTATACAGTGTTATTCGTACACTAAGTCGAAAGGCAGTAGCTGAAGAATTTTCTCAATGGTTAGGGAAAATTAAAAATATTTATATAATTCAATTTTGTCAGGTCAGATTATTTGACTCTGTGCAGTATTTCACTACTTTATACATTGAAGGCCATAAAATAATGTACATATGTATATCTTTAGAGAGTGTAAATTAGAATGGAAAGTACTATTAGTTGCTATTTCTTCGGTGCTTAGCTAAGATATTCTGACACAAATTTCTTATATAACTCAGGTTATGATGATATAAATTTTAATAGCTAAGATAAATACTAGCCACATAGAGAATCGTTTGCAACCATTGACAGACAAGGTAATGGGCGCTTATGTTGCACCCGCCTCGATGGTGAATATTTCAACATATTTACGATCACAAATTAAACCATAAAACCACACTTGACTGGTTATAAATTTGTAGGTTTCGCAAATACTAATAATGTTAAAAAGGCGTATAAATAAATTCTATAGATAAATTACGTACACGTACTTATCTATTATTCATATACTGTAGGTATAACTCATCACAAAATTTAAGTCATCACTAGGATTTACAATATTTCTACGCTGGATCTATATGAATTTTTACTTATGAAATAAGTTTTATTGTTTTTAAACAAAAATTTTAGTTCAGTTTGTAATTTGATATTTTTTAATTAGTCATTACTAGGTTTTCAAGATGAAATTTTGGCACACAGATTCACTACCATCAAGTATAGGTGATAGTGGATGATAATGAAACAGTATTTATATGGTCTTGATATTAATTAAATTATGTTGTTATTTCTAATTATGTTCGTGGTTATGATGTAAAGGCAATCAGGAGAACTAAAGTTTACAAATAAACTGCTTACCGTGTAGAAGAAGGAATGAAAATCAAACTCTGTCTGCATCTGTCTCTAATGAAATGAAGGGGATTCCATTTAATGAATTGTACGATGATTAATACAATAAGAATTTTAGGAAGAGGTAAGTAGGTATACAAATACAATTCATTAATAATAAGTAGATGAGAATTGGAAATATTCCTACATGTGCAAGTACATTTGCGTAGTAAATTTTTCCTGCATTTTAAATAGGTATGAAGGATCAATTTACATCGAAACGTTAATGCTTATTAAAGCTTAAAGCAGTAGTACAAATGGATAACAAACTATGTAAATAAAGAAACTCTATCGCGCAGAGTGGCGACAATTTGTATGCAGCGTCGATATACTCGGACATTTATTGCGAACTAGTCCGTGGTAATTAGCTTTTAGTGATTCCGGCGCGAGCGGTACAATAAATGGAATGGTTGTCCTTACTTACTTAAAGATCTTTCAAGTCATTTGTACGCAAATCCAGAGGTTTATTGATAAAACTGTAGCTTTACATGCTCATTAATTAAAACTAGTCAGAAGGGTGAGAATGATCGTATAGCGAGGGCGTGGGAGGGTAGACAGAGGCGAGCGGTGGGGTGCGGTGCGAGCGCGTGGAGTCCGGAGGCGGGAACGTGATTTGGAGGATGCCCACTCTGTATCAAGTTGGTTCGGACTACGGTACGGCCGCGGGACGCATACGCTTCTCACGTCACTCACGTACGGAACACGCGCCGCGCGGGAAACTAGGATTTTCACGTGTGTACGTATTGGACTCGATTTGTGCAACACTGTCTTCACTTCTGTGGGGAACATTCTTATTTTGAACCTTTTTTCTACATAATTATACAAATAAGGTGGTATAAATTAAAACTAACGTTGTGATTGCAAACATTTATTCGTTATGTGTGATACAGAAAAAACAGAATTATTAAGTGCAATATTTTACTATATATTTGGTATAGTGCTACATGTGTGTCGGGAGGGCTTTTATAAATATTGAGCGATTGATATGGGAGCTTTAAGGAAAAGGAACCATACACACCCGGAAAAACCGAAAGGAAAACTAAGGGTGAGTTTACATTACCATTATCTCTAAGTGCTCTTTTAAAAACATTTAGTTGATAGGCATCCAACGGCTGCGCAGCTTATGAAGTCCGCCTTGTTGTACTCTATCAGTATCTTATTTGCTGATTTTAATAAATATACTTTCGTGAGCATTATTTACTTTATTTCTTCAAAACATTGGGTCGCTGTACATTTTAGGATTCCGACGCAAAATACGTTTGCACAAGAAATAGAGTATATCTTAGACTCTATTACTTATGTCAATGTATCTTGCTGTGTTACTGATTGTAATTTTATGTTTTGATGTGTATCTATTTCCTCATAATGTTTACAATTTACAATTATATATGTCAATATTACCTATGTGGAAGTTATAAGATTAATTTAACTAATAACTAAAACATGATAAACGTATATAATGTGTGCATAGGTGTTCAAATATAATTTTGTTACATATATATACTAATTTCGACATACAGGTAACAATTGTTTTAGAATTTTTTCGTTCCCGGCTCAAGTTTGCTTACTGAGTACTTATATAGGAAATAATGTTGTTCTATAGTAGTTACAATTTGGACCAAGGTAGACTTTGTAAAAAGTCATCTACGTGGGTATATCCTACCTATTTCATTGCCAAGCAGCTTGTTTTTAAGGTATATTTTGGTTGTAGGTTGAGATGGTAAAATTATAGGATAAGAGTAACGATATCTTAATCCTCCAGAATGGTGAGTAACATTGGCTTCGCATAATAACGTGATGTCTGCAGTGAGTGCTGATTATGTATATAGGTGATGTAGATATTGACTATTAGGTAGACCTGATAGCCCACCAAATGTCTAGTATCTACATTTTTACCATTACAATAACATAAAAGAAACCTACATTTGAAAAAAAAAAAGTTAGACAGGTAAAATAGCATCATAAACTCTCTCGTTGTCTATACCACTCAGAACTTTATCAATGTTTTATCTGTAATCTATGGATTGTATAATCAAATCGTGAGTGGAGGCTATATTTTACGGAGTAAAATATAGAGTTAGCATTCTACAATAGAGTAGTTATTATATTATTAATTCATGGGAGGGGTTTCTGTTAATTAAATGGCAATACCTAAATTTAACAATAAAAATAACGAAATCTGTTTCCTGTTTTGAATAAAAATTTCTCATGAATTTGTTTAATCAACAACCCATTTGAAATTACCTCGTAAATTAAGTATAAATAAAGAAAGTCCCATGAACTTCCATAGAAGCAAAAAGGAAATTATTAGGTTATTAATTAGAAAAGCCACAGTATCGCTATAAAATAATCGTTTTACAATTTTACAGGATTTAAAGTTAATCTTCTTTTTTTTTGTATTGTTGACTAACTGTTTTTTATTTATATTAAAGATAAAGGTACGTCGAGACTGACGTACCAAAAATGGACAAAAGTTACTGAATTCATAAAGATTAAAAAAAAATTAAAATAGAAGACATCATTAAATATTCTGTTAGTGAAATTTCTATCTTATATTGTAATACATCTAATTGTATTTATATCCCTGATACCAATTACTTTGTAATGAGGTGGACAAATAACGTGAAGTGATAGAGCAAGAAGTTTAGTTTCTTATGTTACAAATTGAAAAAAAAAACACCAATTTGGTATTATATTAGAGATATATTTCTTTTTTAATTTAAAATGTTTTAGTAGATTTGTCATTGTACCTACATAGATATGGAAATACGAATAGAAGTAGGTTCGTTTTCCAACTCTGCAATCATTATTGCAGAATTTTACCTGCAGAGACTTTGAAGATAAAAGAAAGGCAGAGTAATGTCTTATGTATAGTATAATACTATATTGTCATTATTAGTTTGAAACGGTAACAACGTGTCAGCAAATTGGCAAGTAATCTATTGTTTTTCGAAAGTTTTATTATAATTATCTGTAGCTCTAGCTCTATTTAGAGAAAAATCAATACTTTTATAAATACGAATTGTTCAGTTCGTACGGTAGTAGATATGCGCCTATTTATTACCTACAGAGCACAACACAGGTGAAGTAGCGATAACCCATCGTTGTTGTTAATTCTCATAGCGTGTCGGTTATAACCGATAACCTGTCTTATTACAGTCACAATACAAAAAAATAGGTGGAAAATTTTATAAATTTCAACACTGATATAATTAAAATAAGTTTTATTTTTCAGAGAGAGAAAAAATATATTCTAACACGAATCGGTACAATTGAGGTACTTAGATACCGAAAATGATGTAACATCTCCAAAGAGCAAGTCAGAATCGTGTACCAAGGGTTGCTAAAAATATTTCAAACTGGTTTGTTTATTTAGGTACATATATGATAATTATTACAACAATGTACTATAAGAAATAGATAATTAGATTAAGTTAATTACATACCTATTTACAATGATTCTTCAAAAGTATTCAGATATTTTTATAAACTGCGCTGGTTAAAAGATCTCTCTATTATTCTTAAACAATTATATACATACATAATTAATAGTACAAGTACATACATACGTATCTGTATTTTTTCAATTATAATTATTAATTATTACCTTATTATTTTTACTTTTTAGTCTTCCGAGATATGGGGAAATAATATTTTATTATATTTTCTATCCTGAGTCAAAATTTATGCAAATTTAAAAATAAATAAATCCCATTCACATGACAGAATTAAATTTCGAAACTCAGTTTCAAAACCATTTTATTTTTATATTTTAAAAGTGAAACGTATACAAATTGCAAATGGATTCGATAAATTACCTAGCATATAAATGTTAGATACACGGGATGTTTACATATACTAAGTTGAAATTTACAAGTATGTAGGTGCCTACTTACCAACAAATTACAAAGTAAACTTCGATGCAATAAAAGACCATTTAAATTCCCGGCTATAGTGAAAACTGCGGATAAAATGGTCAATGTATAATTTTATATGATAATATATATAAAGAATCGAATTTTATTACAGTATCTGACATGGGCCTCTCACTCGGAGTAAAATTAGTACCTATGTATGAATTTCTGTCCAATAAATTCAATTTAAGGATTTTGATAAGTGCATACTAATAGTACTCATATTCGAATACTTATCATAATTTTACTTTTATTATTTAAAATTGCCATATTTTATTTCACGTAAATTCAAAGTCTAGTTTTCTGGTAAAAATACAACATACGTAGAATAATTCATAAGATTTTAGATAGTTTTGCGATTATGTAAGAAGCCACTGTTAGTTTAATTTACGAACTGTACCTACAAATTGTCTTAAATCTGCAACTTTTTAATTAAATGGTTCATGAAGAATCGTAAATCTGACTGTTGCTAACATTTATCGAATAAAAACAATTGCAATTGCGTTCGATAATCAATCCAAGGCACTCCAGAGACTACATTGGACACTCGATAAAAGTCTTGACCACAAAGGCCTATTTACAAACTTAACTAAGATTAAGGAAAACTAAATAAGGAAACCAGATCTTTAATGGTAAGCGATAATATTGCATACTTCACGATAAGTATTATATGGAACTAACGGTTTGTTTATTACAATAATCATTCAAGTTTTGTTGATATTACTAATATTGTTTTTGACCTCTGCCCTTAAGTACCGAGTATCGGCGAAACTTCACAGTTCTGAATAAACTGAGTAGTGTTACAATCGTAATAATAATATTACTTCAAATGTTTCAAGTTTACCGACTTTAACAACTACTATAAACATTGAGTAATTAATAGACCAAATTTAATTTCACTATAAACTTTACAGTCGACTTCATACGCTACATCGGAACATATCTATTTATCATGATAATAGGTAGCGTCCTCCTCTATTCCAATACCATCTATATGGCTTTCATAACGATTGGATAAATTCATAATTATAGTGCCAATAAGGAATAGTGTACATGAACACTTTCACTTCCACATTTATATAGTTTGAATATTAATTTTGATAGACTTTCGTATAACTCATATAGAAATAGAGAGAAAACGTAAAAGATAGAAATGATGGTAATATGTAGTAGTTGTTACAACCAGTAGGTAACATGACGAAGTTAGGTGTCTCCCACTCTACTGTTCTGATCGGTCCTAGAGTAAAGACTTACTAGTACTTAACTACAGATTGAATAGTAAATGCAATGCAAAAAAATTGCAATTTATTAAAATAAAAGAAATAAATAAAGAAATTATTATTATTTGATAACACAACAAAGGAGAAAAAATAATCAGAAAATTTGAAGTACTAATGTGTACTCTGACCTCCTGACTGACATAATATTTAGCCTAAATATAATGTTAATATATGTATACAAAATTCACAAAGTTATAAGCATAAATCTGGGTGGACAACTAGTAATCAATATAAGCGATAATACAAGCAAGGCGGCTGAAATAGGTGAGACTGAGTTACCCACGCAGACTACTTTTTACAATCTACCTTTGGTAAAGCTTATAACAACATGTTGCTGATATCTACTTTCCATTAATAGACCAATAGATTGATTGTCAACCTTAACCTTATACGAACCGAAGTATATTTTTAATTTTTCTAATTTTACTTCTATTTATATTATCTATAGAATATCATTTAACATGACACACTTTATTCATTGTGTTAATTGTAAGCACTTACGAGTAATTTTGTGGTTAATTTTCTAATGTATAAGTTTTATGCTGGTGCTGGTCCCATTCAAATATAATCCGCTATTAATAACAATAATAACCATGGACAATTCACCTAGTTCTAAGCAAAGCAAAGCTTGTGTTAGGGGTGCTAGACGGCTGCTATAAATACTTAGATGCCTTTTTTTTGTAAACACAAGTATAATTTAGCTTGTTGTTGAACTAATTTAAAGTATCAGATCAATGTCTTAATTAGAGATTGCAATACGTTGAATATATAGAGTTATCGAAAGTATAATTTATTATTTTAAATAAAAATAAAAGTCTTCTACAGTACAAGTATAAGTGACGGTAATTTAA